GGCCCAGGAGCAGTTGGGCATCAGGACAAAGAAGGAAGGAGGGAGATGAAAACAGGAGGTAGCGATGACCACTGATGAAGGGATGGAAGTGGATGAGACTGAGGGGTGACACAACAAGAATTAAAAACAATGCATGTGAGAAAAATCTAAATAAACACCACACAGGGGTTTAAAGTGAGTCTTGTGAGTCGTTTCCTGTAGATAGAATTCTCTAGCATTCCTGTTTCAAGGAGTTTGTCAGAGGAGTAGGGGGCAGAAAAACAACAGGATTACAAGCTGTAATCATTAACAGTGATGATCTTCTCCAATTGACTAACCAGAAACGCAACTCTTCCGCTGCCTACGTTCGCTCTTCTTTCTAGGGTAGAAACTGCAAAGTCGATGTGTTTTCTTCACAAATAACACAAACCAGAACGTGTTCCGCTATGCGATGGAGTTGCTAGTAGTTAGCTTCTACTACGAGCTCTGCTCTCTCCTGGTGGCAAAACCAATACAGCTTTCTGCGTTCGCAAACCAAGGTGGGTGGAGCCATGAATACTAATTTTCCCTGTATTGTAAAAGAGACCGGCTCTTTCTGACCTGATTGTTTTCCTGTCTTTTTCTTTTCTCTCAGAGTAACCGATCATTTTTAAAATTAAGAAGTAAACAAGACTTTTCAATAGTCAAAAAGAAACATTCTAATATAACCAAGAGCTGTGCTAAACAGTGGAAAGTGTATGCTATGAAAAGAATAATGCTATTTAACTGCACTTTAGTTTCACAAACTTACTCAAAACATCAAAGGATGGACAGGATGATAATCCGCACAGCACAGAAACACAAAATCATATCTACAGCAACTCAAAGAGGGAGGCAGCAGACAAAAACACCAACTCTGGAGGCGTCTACATTTGCAGCTCGTTTTCAGCGCTGCCACCCATGTTTGATTAGCAGAATGTCACAGACCCAAAACGGCAGCGCACTACATCCTCCTGGGGATATCCCTCCTTCGAAATCACACAGAGGCTGCATGGGTGATTACTCAAGCAAGCTACTACAGAACCGCCTCAGCTTCTTGATTCACAAAGGCCACTGTCACAAGCCAGAGCCTAACCTCACTGAATCAAGACTGAGCTCAAATTACCACGAAACCAGTTACATAAAAGAATAATAATATAAAATGAAGATATAATTTATTACATGATTTACTTAGCTGATTAAAATCCTTCACAAAGTCAAAAGTTGAAAACCAAGTCAACTTTTATGATCTTAAACTTTTTAAATTTGAAACCACTGCAACATAACTTTGGAATACAGCTGCTTCTTTAGAGTAACCGCCTACTTCATTTGTCCAGCAAACTAGAAATTTGCATTATTGTAATGAAGGCAACAGTGATGACAATCAAAGTCACAGCAAAAGTGTTAATGACAGGGTTAGCGGAGATTAAAGCAGGCAAATAAAGTCTTCCATTTAGCCAACTCATGAGAAATCGGGTTTGGGTTGTGTGGATCAACCTAAAAGGTTTCTGCCACATGGATCTGCCTTTTGTGATGAATTCAATGTCAACTGCAGTGGATTTGGGACTCCAGGTCAAAGAGCAACACTCTGTGATAAGACTGATAACACAGCAACAGCAGATTAAACAATGGATAGTTTGTGGCTCAACGGTGCGCCGTTGGATTATTGGAATTTTTTAATCCAAAATATAACAAGGTTGTGAATGAAAAGAAAGAGTTTAGGATTTGTTTATTCACATGAAGCTTCGTTATTTGTTTGTGTGATAACTTAGTAAGTACAGCTGTCAATACTGTATAATGAATATAATTATTTTATTGTGAAGACAAAATGATTTTTCCCACTGACCAATTGTAAATTTTAGTTTCAAGTTACAGAATCACCTGCAAAACTTTTTTTACACTTAGTTCTAGGGATGTCCCGTTCCGATATCGGCCCAAAAACAGAGTATTGGATTATATCAGACGGCATCAGAAATCTCAGATATAAGCAGTCCATTAAGGTTCACATATTTGCAACCAATGGTTAAGAAACATTTGTTTTTTTTCCCTTACTTACTGTTATTGGCTCTTGTTCTCCAATTGAGTAATATCACTTCATCAAGCCTTTCATACATTCCTGTGATGGTAAAAGTATGTATGATTTGTGCTGAAATCATATCAGATCGATATCGGTATCGGTCAATACCGAAGGCTGCAATATCGGTATCGTATCGGAAGTGAAAAAGTTGTATCGGGACATCCCTACTTAGTTCCTCCTGTTTCAGGTTCCTACACATCACACTGAGAGCAGGCTCATTAGAAAACACCTAAACATTTACAAAAGCTGAGCTACACATCTATTTCACAAATTGGTGCAATAGAAAGGTACCTCAAAGACTTGAGTATTTTTTTCATATGGTAGCTTCTGTGGACAATTGAAATTAAAGACTTTACATGCTTGTTGTAATTTAATCAAATTCACAATTATCATTATACGGGATGACGGCAGGTCTTATTTATAGCA